CCCTACAGGCTGTTCGGTGGGGCTAGATCATGGTGCTAATGATTCAATCAATATGTCAGCCTCCAGGAAAGCTCATGTAGATGAACATTCCCAGAATGTCCTCCACCAGCTTTAATTCCCCTGGGTGAGCCGCAGACTTCCCCACATCCCCAGAAGACCCTCCAAATCCAGCAGGCAGGCCGGGCCCAGGTGCCTATGAAATCACTTCCTCTTCCCTTGGACCTGGCATGCACAAGATTCTGTGTAGGCTTCCCAAGTGAATGGAGTCTCTGTTTCCCCCCGTCCCATGGGGCTTCTGGCACCAAGCCATGCCGGCCTTCAAAAACCAGATGTCCTGGGGTCTCCTTCTCTTCCCAATGCCAGAACCCAAGCTGGGGAGCCTGATGTGGGGCTTAGAGCTCTCATGCCTATGGGAGAGCCTCTGTGGCTTAACAAATCTTCAGTTTGTGGATCACCAACCGAGGGGTATGGAGCCTAATTATATCGTGAGCATGCCCTTCCTACCATCTTGCTGTGGTTCCTTCTTTATGTTTCCAGTTGCAGAAGATCTTTTTTGCTAGGTTCCAGTCTTTTTCTGATGGTGGTTTGCATTCAGTTGTGGATTTGTTGTAGTCATGAGGAGAGGTAAGGTTGTGGTCCTACTGCTCCGCCATCTTGACCAGAAATCCCATAAAAGTTTGTTCCTGTTAATCTCCCTCACCTATTTCTCTGCTCCCTCCACCCCCCTTCCCTCTGGCAACCACCTATTTGTTCTCTGTATCCGTTACTTTGTTTCTGTTTATCAACTGAGTAAATTTAAAGATCAAATTGGTTTTATTTAATGATTCACGAATTGGGCAACATTGCATCTAGCAATAGAAAGGAGCTCCACTGAGCTGTAGTAAAGGAAAGTTTTTCAAAAGTGGAAAGGGGATAGAAAAAGGAAATTATTAGCAAAGAATGCATTGTTTCAGACACCCTCCTAAGGGGAATGGAAGGGCCTATCGGACAGATAATCTTGCTAGTGCTGACCAGGTAATTCCAGGCTGACCGGTTAAAGGTTGCATTCCTATGTGGATTGAGACTGCAGTTAGGTTAAGTATTAAGTCTCAGTTTGCTGACATAGGGTTTAGCACAAGTGACTCCTTTTTGGGCCTGCTGTCTCCTTTTTACCAGAAACAAATGTCTGTCAACAGTACTATAGATAAACAAATTCTGCAATGGAATGCTACTTAGCAAGAGAAAGCAGACACAAGTGAGAATGTACAGTACAATTCAGTTTTTATGAAATTGAAAAACGTGAAAAAGATATAGTGTCATAAAGTAGATCCATGAGCGTTTGAGGCTGATAATGGGGGGCTGACTGTGAAGGTGATGAAAATGTTTTGTGTCTTGTACTGGTTGTTATAGGAATTTTGTTAAATGCTTCTAACTGTTCACTGGAAGTGGGTGCTCTTTATTGTATATAAATTATGCCCCGTAATTGATTGTTTTTTAAAGTAGTTCTTGTGGATCTCTGAATATTAGAAGTCCTCCTACTGGAGTCAGGTGAGAGAATTTGTAGAGATGCAGTCTCTTAAATCTCATCCTTTGTTTTCTACTCAGCAGTATCACGGTAATTCTTAGAAGATGAGAGCTTGATTGCTTTCTGAAATTCCTATGCTAGTGGTCAAATATCACTAACAGCTTTACTCAATAGGGTTTTCTCCCCTCCTTTCACCCACAATCTTTTCAAGTGTCTTTCCTATACCAGCCAGACAATAGAAATCCTCAAATGAAGGGTTTTAATTGGGAGAGATTAGTATTTGGATGAGCAGAGCTGGGGGAAAGCAGAAATTACACATAAGAATTAAGATAGATGAGCAGTCTCTATACCCGAATATGTTTTAAGGAGTTTAGAAAAAGAATGTTCCAGGAGAAAAGACTTCTAGCTCAGAGATAGGAATGAGCAGTGAAGAGATTGTTCCACCTGGAGCCTAGAATTCATCCTGGAGATCCATATGACCTAATGATGGACCTCTATAGCAAAGGATGAATGCTGGTATAGGGAATATGAAAGTAGCATGGAATAATCTTGAGATCCTGTAGTAAAACCACCTCAGTTTTAGTACCTGCTCTGTTGTTCTGGAGTTTAGTTTTGTACTTTTTGTTGGTGGTGGTGGTGGTTAAAAAACAAAGAGTGAGATTTTGTCATTTCTGAAGTCCTTTTTGTTTCTAACATTTTGAGTCTACAAAAAAGTGAATGACTATATGAGATGATGGGTGTTAATTAAACCTACTGTGGTTATATTTCACTATATATGTATATATATATAAAGTAAACTATCATGCTGTACATCTAATTTATATTCATTTACTTATTTAAATGGATATACTGGGGATTGAACCCAGGACCTCCTGCATGCTAAGCACATGCATTACCACTGAGCCATACCCTTCCTCTGTACTGTACATCTTAAATTTACACAGTGATGTATGTTAATTATTTCTCAATAAAACTGGAAGGAAAAAGTGAATGAAAGTTTATATGCAAAATTTTGATGATGTGATAATCATGGTGGGGTTTTCGTATATTTCACTGTATTGAAACTGGTGAATGAGATTAAGGATGGACATTGGTTATAATTATTTCTTTATTTTCTTTGCAGGAATTAATCATTTCATGAGAGAGACAGTGAAGAATTGTAAAAGAGATGGGTTTGTTCAGACTATTTTGGGAAGGCGTAGATATTTACCAGGAATCAAAGACAACAACCCTTACCGTAAAGCTCACGTATGTTGAAATTTCTCTGGATTTCTGACTTAATATTTTAAAGGCATATACTTTTTCACAAGGACTGGATGCTGCTAATGTTGCTTTTAGAGATTACTAGCATATTAATTTGATCTCCTGTTTTATTCAGGACTTCTGAAGTGATGGTGCATGCCAGTATTTGCTGAACACAGTCTTTAGGGGACTAATATAAATATGGTTTCACTTAATAATATTTCAATTAAAGATATTCTGTTTTAGTAAGCCAATTATTGATTAGCTTTGGTAATAAGTTATAAGTAAACTCAGCTGTAACATTTGCTAATTGTTCTTTGTTTCAGATATTGTATACTAAGTTGTTGTATCACAGCAGATTGCCATTGTTGTCAGAAATTAGCCAATCATTGAACTGTGGTATCTTTTTAGTTCATTTTGCTTGTTGATTTATTTTAAAAACTCTGGCTCATTAGAGGTTATTAGGATGCCCAAAATATTAAAGAAGGCTGTTTTTAATATTATTCAAAAGATTTATTTTGACGGTGTTTTCTCAAATTATGATTAAAATCTTTCTGAAATCATTAGGATCCATAAAAGTATTCCGTGTGTCTGGGCATTTAAGCTTCTATTATAGCATAAACCTTCTATTGTAACGTTGTATTTTGCCCTTATCCCATACTTTTGTGTGTGAGTGCCCACTACACGTTGCATGTAATGAAAATAGCCTCCAAATTGCTAAACTTCTGTCTTGATCTAGAATCTCTCAGAGCAATAATGCTCTTAGGGACTATGGAAGAATAGTTGGGTTTTTGTTATTTCTTCAGTCTCTAGCCTCCCATATATCCACATACAGTCATCAGCTATCTGTCAGGCCTCTACCATATCTCCAAGTGAAGTAGGCACTGTAGCTGATGAGGAAAAGTAAGTCTTAAAATGTATTGGAAGGGATAAAACAAACTAAAAAAATATAAAAATTACATATATACTCAAGTTATTTAGGCTTCCAGAGAGTAGGTAGGTCTTGAACAAATTCTTTAAGACTAAAGTTCATATTGTTGGGCATGAGCAAAAGACAATCACAAGTGAGTAAGAGTTAGAGTAAGAATTGGCCAAAAACCAATCTGATAGTGGAGAATATGAGTTGTCACTGAGGAGTTGATCATTTCTACTGGTCAGATGGAATCAGCTACTGGAAGGCTTTACATGGCAGGCTGAGAGATTTGGGCTTGATCTAGTAGGGATTGATTATGTTTCTTGGGATTTACATAATGAAAAATGGAGGATAGATTTATTAATGATAATGAACCAAATACTTTGAAAAAGAAAACTGATGTTTTTATAGTTAAAGATATGAGAGTAAGACTTTTCATACCAAATCCTTAGGAAAGTCAGAGTTCTGATTCATTATGTTGTTGCTGAGAAAAAACAAGTTCCAGCCTTCTAAATCAGCAATAGAGTAAATATAGCCAGATTTATTTTTAAATTTTTGTTTAGTTTGCTATTCTTTTTATTTCAACTTTTATTATGTTAGAAAGTACACATAGAGAAAGCTCAAGAAACAAATATAAATTTCAATAAATTATCAAAGAGCTGTACCATCCAAACCAAAAAAATAGAATATTGTCAGCATCCCAGAAGCTCCTCTCATGCCTCTTCCTAATTACCTTCCTAGAAATAACCGCTAAACCTTCTAACCCTATAGCTTTATTTTATGTATTTTTGACCTCTGTATGCATCATATATGTGTATTGTTCTGTGTTTAACTTCTTTCACTCAAAATTACATAGGCAAGTCATTCATGTTGTTCCATGTAGACGTAGCTGTATAGATCTGATATATGAGTATACCATGATTTATCCATTTTTCTGTTGATGGGTTTCTAGTTTGGAGCTATTATGGATCTTGCTGATTTGATCATTCTTGTGCAAGGTTCTTGGTGCATATATATTTCCATTTATGTTTGGTAAAGACCTAGTCATAGAATTGCTGCCTATCTTCAACTTCAGTAGATAAAGCCACGTTGTGTTTTATGGTGGTTATAACAATTTGTCCTCTCATGTGTGTTGTCATTGCTCTGCATCCTTGCTAACATTTGCTATTAAGTTAATACAGTTTTAGCTACTTTAGTGGTATAGTATCTTGTAGTTTGTATTTTCTTGAATACTAATGAAGTAAAGCAACTTAACAATTATTTATTAGCCGTTTAGTAATTTTTTTCTTGTGTAAGTGCCAATTCAGTTTTTCTTGTTCTTTGTTGTTGTTGTTGTTGGGTTGTCTTGTCTTTTTCTTACTGATTTATAGGAGCCTGTTACTGATTACACTTGTGGAAAATATTCTCTTCCACACTGTGTCTGGCCTTTTTGTTCTCTTATTAGTAATTTTAGAAGAAAGGAGAGTATTAATTTTGTTTATTCTTAAATATTTTATTGAGAAATAACATTTATGCAATAAAGGGCACAAATCTTGAGTGTAAACCTTGAAGTTTCACATACACACACACACACACACACACACTGATAAAGCCACTATCATAATCAAGATATAGAATTTTTCCAGCACCCCAGAAGACTTATTTATATTTCTTCCAAGTTGGTACTGTCACCTCTGTGCAGACACATAAAGCTTTAGATTAGTTTTATATGAACTTGAATTTTATTTAAATGCAGTCATACCACTTGTACTCTTGGGTCTAACTCTTCATTCAAATATACATCTGTGAGATTCATGTGTCATGTGCAGCTATAGTTCATGTCTTTATTTAGCTGAGTAATATTCCATTGTAGGAACATACCAACAATTTATCTTTTCTAATATTGGCAGACATTTTGGTCATTTTCAGGTTTGGGCTATCATTAATAAAGCTGCTATGAATATTCTTGTATTTGCCTTTTGGTATACATATGCACCCAATTCTGTTACCTTAGAGTGGAATTGCTGAGTCATAGAGTAAGCATATTTTTACCTTTAGTACATGCTGCCTGATTTGCAGAGTGCTTATTTTCATTGCCATCAGCAATATATCTACATTCTTGCCATTGCTTGATATTATTGGTCTTTTTAATTTTAGCAGTTCTAGTATCTGAGTCAGGGTACCTCTTTGTGCTTTTAATTTGCTTTTCCCTGATGACTGGTGATACTGAACTCCTTTTTTATATGTTTATTGAACATTTGGATACCTTCTTTTGTGAAATGTCTGTTTAACTGCTATGTTTTTATTTTTGAGTTGTCTGTCCTTTAACTGATTTATGAGAGTCCTTTATATATTCCAGGTATGAATCCTTTGCTTACATAGATTTATCAGTCTTTTGTATTATTGTGTTGCTTTCCTTGATCTGTTTAAGAAAGCTTTTTCTACCCCAATTTCAAGAAAATATTCTGTAGAAGTTTTTGGTTTTGACTTTTACATTTATATCTATAGTCAACCAGGAATTGATTTTTACTTATTGTGAGAGATTGAGGGTCAAGGTCCTCCCCAATCCCCATGGATATACAGTTGTCCAAACTATTTATTGAAAAGACTGAGCTTCCCCCCAACAGCTCTGCAGTGCTGCCTTTGCCACAAATTATATTTTAAAGTATGGATGTGTCTGTTTCTGGTCACATTGTTTTGGTCTGTTGTGTCTGTTCATCCTTTAGGCTGTGTCATACTACCTTAGTTATGAAGCTGCTTTATAAGATGTTTTGGTATATGGTAAAGTAAGTTTTCTCATCTTGGGTTCCTACTCCTCCATCCCCCAAGAATATTTACCCATTCTTGGTTCTGTGTATTTCCATATAAATTGTAGAGGCAGCTTGTGAATTTCCACACAAACATAAAATCCTATTGGGATTCTCAGTTGCAATTGCCTTAAGTTCATAGATCAAGGTGGGATTACTGGACATATTTATAAATTTGAGTTTTCCAATCCATGAACATGTTATATATGTCCATTTTATTTAGGTCTTTGGGTCTTTTTAAATTCTTCATGATAGTTTTGGGAAAGCAATCTTACAAGATTTTTATTAGATTTATATCTAGGTGTTTGAAAAGTTTAATGCTGTTGAGAATGCTATCTTTTTAAAATTCTTTCCCTTTTTTATGTTTTCTAACCTTTGCTCCTGATAGATATATAATTGTTTTTATTGTTGTGTCTAAAAACCTTGCAGATATTACTTACTAATTCCAAAAATTTATCTTTAGATACTTTTAGGTATTCTATCTACACAGTTTTCATCTGCAAAAAGAAAAAAAAATAGTTTTATAACTGCCTTCCAAATCTTATTCTTTTTTAACTTTTGGTTGATTTACTAGCTAGGACATTGCTGAATAGAATTAGTGATAGTGGGCATCTTTGCCACTTTTCAGATCTCAGAGGTGAATTATAAGCATTTTACCGATTAAGTGGAACTTTCTTTTAGGTTTTTAATAGTGTCTGTCAGATAAAGTGAGTTGCCTTATATATGTGCTTGTAGGCTGTAGAGTCTGTATGCCAACACTCAGCTGTGCTGTTGTAACGCAAACAGTGAGTGTGGCTGCATTCCAGTAAAACTGCATTTATAAAAAGAAGAGATGGGCCATACTTGGTGTGCAGGCTGCAGTTTGCCCACCCCTGGCCTAACTGTTCCTTCTTTAAGTGTAATCTGCCTTTTTTCTCTAGGTTGTTTTCAATATAGTATTTTTCTTTTTGTGTGGTTTCTAGCAGATTTTCTGTTATGTGGTTAACTGTGTGCTTTTTTTTATTTCCTGTTTATGTGTGTGGATGTGGTGTGTTAAACATATCCTTTTTTGAGGGTGTTATGACTTCTTGAATCTGCACCTTGAGATCCTTTGTTGATTTTGGAAAATTCTTAGTCATTTCTTCTTCAATCATTGCTTCATCAGATCTCTTCTCTCTGAAACTTCTATTACAAAAGTTTTAAACTTTTTTCTTTAATTCCTCATTTTTCATATCCTCTGTTTGGTACTTTTCGATGTTTATATTTCATCATGGTTACTTCTGGATATTTTCTTCTAACTTGTCTTTCAGTTGGCTGATTTGCTCTTCAATTTGCTGTTGAGCAGCGATTGAGCCTTTAAGTTCTAAGTAATATAGAACTTTTCCAGCACCCCAGAAAGCTTTTATATCTCTCTCCAAGTCAGTACTATCCCCACCCCTGTGCACATACACCAAACTATAGAGAAAGCACTGTTTAAGTGCTTTAAGTTCAATTATTTTTATTTTTCTGTTCTAGAGTTTCCATTTTGTTCTTAATTATGAGTACATGGTTCTCAATAGTGAAATATTTTTGTCTTTTATTTTCTTGATAACATGATTATTTTATAGTCTAATGAGTTTGATAATAGTCTGTAATCAAACATGTCCCATACTTGGATCCCTGTAGTCTATTCCTATTGCTTTTTATTTTTCTCAGTTTTCTACAAAAACAGTTACATTGTCTCAACTCCTTATGGGCCTCCTGCTACTTAATGGGCCTGAACCCAAATATTTTTTCCCACCCCTCAAGACCACCAAGCTCTGTTCAGCTTCTTAGCCTCTCAGCTGCCTCTTTTGGAATCTGTTGATGTCCCTGGGAGAAAGGGCAGCCTCCAATGCCCGTATCACCTCCTTGCTTTCCTTTCTCTTCTAGTTCTTTAGGTTCTGTAATTTTTCACTTACTTTGTACCTGTCTGATTTATTCAAAGAGGCATTTTCTGACCAGCTTTTCTGGTTGTTATCAGTGGGAGGATTGGTCCTAATGGCCTAATCTTCCATTACTAGAAACCTATATTTTTATGTTCATGAAAACGCTTTGGTGATGACAAGCAACTGAGATTATGGGACACAAAGTCAAGACTGTCAAGTTTTCTTATTTTGGAGGAGAATCAGGGAAGTACAGTATCACGAGAATAAAATATATTTATGTTAATCATATTTGCTTATGTCACAGTGAAAACAACCCAAAATTTCAGTGACTTATGAAAAGAAGCTTTATTTTTAATTCATGTTATAGTTTGGCTCTGGGTCGACTATGGCTCTGCTCCAGTCCCTATCTGGGATAAACTCTTTTTTTTGTGACAGTGTTAGATAGTTTTTAAAACTTCTTACATGTGCTGTATGTCAGTTTTACATTTCATTGGCCCATTCTTAAATAGTGAGAAACACTTTGAGTCACATGGCTTTGGGTGGAGGCTATGGAACTTCACAGAGAAAGGCAGCAAGCAATAGCAATAACAACATAATCCACTGCACAAGGCATACAGTTTCAAGAAGGGGAGGAGTCAGTAGAACTTTGAAATTCCGTCAGCCTTTAAACAGTGACAGCTGGGTGAGTTTAGAATGAATTCATCAGCATTTGACAAAACAACAGTTAGTTTAAAAAAAAAGTCTATTTAACTAGTATTTAATATAAGGGAAGTTGGTGACAGGGAACTCTATCAAGTTATGTAGTTCCTCCAGTGAGTAGATCCTTCCCACTTTCTGAGTCCTTTGGAAACAATAGGAGTGATATTCATGGATAGGTTGCACCCTAGATATTAACCTGGACCCCTGTTCCCCTGCCCCAGGATGATCACTTTTAGCAAGTGACCATGGCAGCAATAGTTCAGGGAAGTTCTACTTTAATATCCAGGACTCTAGGATCTGCACATTTACTGGCAGCTAACAATTAGCCCCAACAGCCCATAGAAAGCTCTGATTAATACCAGAGGGCTCCAGATCTAGTGGGCCAAACTCTACATAGGACCAAGAGTCCACTGATATGAGGGATGTACTTGAAACTTTCCAACCCACATGACAAAGAATGATATTCTAATTATAACTATTTAGGATTAAGAGCAATTGTATTCTGAGGAATACACCCTTTAAAGTGAAATTTAGAACATCGATAATATAATTTTGGGCCTCTAAATACATTTTAAGTATAATGCAGTTTTTGGTTCCTGAGTGTTGAAGATTTCTAAATTGAAGCAACCTGACGTTCTTTTGTTTAATCTATCCTCTAGTGAATGACAACCCAGAATCTAGAGCTCTGGATCATTCCAGTTGTTATTCTTAGGATGCAGCTCAGTAGTTGTTATCCTGGGTCACATCTCGTCCAGATTTCCAGTCTGGTTGCAGGAGTCAGCACTAATCTGTGGACACTTTAAAGGCAGGTATGAAACCACGTTGGCATATCTGATGGAGCACCTGTTATTGTTGTTTCTCGTAGGCTGAGCGTCAGGCTATCAACACAACAGTCCAAGGTTCGGCGGCTGATATTGTCAAAATAGCCACAGTTAATATTCAGAAGCAATTGGAGACCTTCCACTCAACCTTCAAATCCCATGGTCATCGGGAGGGTATGCTCCAAAATGACAGAACAGGTTTGTTCATAAATAAGGCCCCTGATATAACATAGTGAGATTAATTATGTCAGAAAAGAAAAGGAGAAGTATTTTATATATTATTTCTCAGCAATTCTCAAACATTTTGGTCTCATGGTGTCTTTATACTTTTAGAATTATTAAGGACCCCAAAGAGCTTTTGTTATATGGATTATATCTATTAATATTTACCATATTAGAAGTTAAAACAAGGAATTTTAAATGATTAACATTTACAGATAATAATAATAATAAACCTACCATGTGTTAACATAAGGAACTTTTTTATGAAAATAACTACATTTTTTCAGAATAAAAGATAATTCGTGGTGAGTGACTATTTTACATTTCTAAAAACTCTAATGTCTGGCTTAAGAGAGAATGTTTATATTCTCTTATCTATTTCTGCATTCAATTTGTTGCAATATCATCTATTTTGTAACCTCTGGAAAATCCTCTGTACGGTCTAGGGTGATAAATGTCCCAATTTGTGGGAGACTGATGGGATTCCCGGGATATGGGACTTGTAGTGCTAAAACCAGGATAATTTGTCACCTTGTTGTATGCTTATGAGAGAATGAGACTAAAAAAGGAAAATAACCTCTAAGTGTTATTAGGAAAATAAAAAATTTTGACTTTGCTGATGCTTTGAAAGGATCTCAGGGATCCATGTTGATCCTCAGACCACACATTAAGAACATGTTGATTTTCCTGTTCATGACCTTTCACGAGCACATGTACACATTCACACTCTTTTATATTTGTAGAAAGAGAATGTACAGTCAAACTTATTTGGGGAATAATGTACTGTGTACTTTGGAGGATTTGGAAGTAAAAGTTATCAACCTATGTTTAAAATTTAAATCTACTAAAGAAAGGAAGATATGATACCTGACTGAAATGTTTACATGACGCTTCACAGCAAAATGATGCAGTGCAGTGTCAAAATGATAGCATCAATCCTTATAGTGAGTGAAAGACAATGTAGATACGTCACAGAGGATGACTTCGTGTGTCGTGCTGAGTTAAAGGTAGTAGTAGGTCAGTGGGATCAAAGGGAGTGGTGCCTGAGGAAGCAGACCACACAGGGAATAGGAGGATCATGGCATTCTAGGTCAGAAGACAAGTAACCAAGGGAAGTCAAGAGGACAGAGGTACGGTGATCAGAAAGCAGAAAAATTAGAGCATCTGGACAGCCAATGATGTAAGATAAGTGGGGCCCAAAGGGGCAGATCAGATTTTAGCCAAACTGGTGAACAGGTGCCTTTGCATCCCTGGTATGGAAGCAACTCGCCGAGCCTCGTCTGCCTTTGTTCTCTTACCCTGCAGGAGCCAGCTCAGAAAACCAGGTAATGACAACTAAAGTACTCTCTTGGGAATTTCAGCTATCGAGGGAGGTGGTCTTTGTGCTGTCCTGAAGAATAAGTAGGAAATTTGGATGGTAGAAAGGAAGGACTGCTCTGAAACATGGGCAAACAAAGGCAGTTACTGTAAAGGTATTAATGTTGAACCTTATTTTAGTGATCAGGGTGGTATAATCTGTACCACTAGGAAGTTAGGAAATAGTAACTAAGTGTAGTATAGTGATTTTTAAACATTTTTGGTCTCATGGGTTCTTTTGAGAATCTACTGAAAGACAGAGATCATCTCCACAGAAGAAAGTACAGACATAGACCCTTACATGTATCTTTAAGGGTCTAAGTATCTAACACTCTCCGAAGTGTTTGGACCCTAGATTTAGAATTACTTGTCTAGAGTGTGTGGTCCAGTTAAGGAATCACCACTTCTACCATGGTGACACTTATGGCCAGAGAAAGACATCAGGGAGTGTCAGTCTTATAAAACACTGCCTAAAGACAATGCCAATTCCCTTTTCTGGAGCAAGAATCAGGCCCCACACTAGTGCTGTTCTCAGAGAAGTTGGTAGTGGGAACTCCATGGAAAGCGAAGATGGTTGTTTATGAGAAATAAGTTAGACTAGAGTTTGGAGCAGAGTTCTTTAAACTCCATTTACTGACTTTGTTAGATTCCTCATTTGTGGGAGAAAGTTGATGAAGATTTGAGTTTACCTGATGGGCGGGATAGGTAGCAACCAGCAAGTAGTTATTTTCCTGATAATTGTATATTTTATGTGTTTTAATCTCTTAATTAAAATTTCCCAGAACTGCTCAAAATCTCTCTTAAAAATATTTTTTTCTATAGCACAGTGACATTGCTGATCAGTTTTGCTACTTTTTTTTGTCGGGTAGGATTGTTACCAAAGAGAAAACTGCAAGGGATGTTCTGCCCAATCAGAGGAGGCTTCTTCATCCTTCAACTCCATGATGAACTCTTATATGAAGTGGCAGAAGAGGATGTTGTTCAGGTATTTTTGCAGTGTTTGTGTCCATTCTACAGAAAGCTAAAACATGGTAGGTCAAGCTAAGGTGCATGAGATTTCGGGAACCCTTCCCTAGCCCTGGGATAGGTACAGAAAAGTTGAATCCTTAAGGGTAGAGAAAGAGCTAAGAGTGCTGAGCTTTAAACTCATTTAAAAAGAAATTCCTGCAGGGATATTTTTGTTTGGGAGAAGTTAGATGAGAATTTGGAGTCCTTGTCCTGAGGATTCCAAAGCTCTGAGCATTCTAGTGAACCTGGCAGAGCTCCTGCTCATCAGGGAAGACCAATGTGGGATGCCTGACTCTTTACAGATTTTGAGTTTTAAGCACCATGAGGTGAAGAGCTCCAGTCTGGCTTATCTTCTCAGTGGATGGGCTGGGAAACATTCTTTGGACAGCGTTTGTTAACTTTTTTTTTTTTTTTTTAGGTAGCTCAGATTGTGAAGAATGAAATGGAAAGTGCTGTAAAACTCTCTGTGAAACTGAAAGTGAAAATGAAAATAGGCGCCAGCTGGGGAGAGCTGAAGGACTTTGATGTGTGATTGTGGGGAAGCCTGGTGTAGGTACAGTCACACAGAAAGAATAGAGATTACCTTTCACCTGCTTCATGAAATAGAAATCCTCAAGTCTTGATGAACTTAGGATAGTAATTTTATAGTGAGAGTGTCAATATGTATATGAGAGTTTATTCTCTGTAGTGTAAAAAAAATTTTTTTGAGGCCAAATACTAAGTTTAATTCACTCTTTAATATTCTTTAATTTAATACAAGAAAGTATTTATGAAATTACCTTTTAAAGCTTACTGTGGCTCTTAACAGGTTCAGAACACATGCTTCAAATATGTACTTAGCACTTTGGGTCTTCATCTGTCTAGGTTGAGCATTAAGAAACAACTGCTGCCTTGGAGGCATTTTCAGCCCAACCAGGATTCAGAAACTTGTGATAAGGACCCTAATAGGAGTGGAGACAGATAAGGATTTGGTTTCACATAAGCCACTAGGCTTAGGCGTTGTGTGTATTTATAGCCAATATCAATTTAAGACTTCTGAAGTAGTATTTTTAAATAGCATTGGCTAATGAATTAAGAATTCTGTGAAGTGGTAAGGCTTAGTATGGATGTAGTCTAGGAATAGATTGTCATGAAATGCTGTTTCTTCTTTCTTTCCCTCCCCCAGTTCATGCAATGAATGTATTTCAATACTTAGGTATTAAAAAACAAACTGCGCCTCTTTAAGAGGTATCCTGATCTGTAAGATCGGATATTTATATTGCAGTTTAATATAATACTGCCTGAGAAGGAAAACACCCCCCCATCGGTCCCTCATGCCTCTTTCTCTGTGGCATTGTGAGACTATTCATGTTGAAAGATGGTACTTTATAACCCCAGTCAGAGGTGATAACTGACCTTTTTGATGTTTGAATAAAGTTAATTTATGAGAAACTTTATAGCAGCAGTTCAGTTTTTAAAAAATTGTGCTTGGACTAAGAGTATTAGAAGCCTGTGTCACCTATTTATTCTGTACTTTGCTCAACAATGTCTCTGCTCATAGGAAGTGTTTATTATATTCTTAGTTATCAGAAGAGCTCATATGTTATTAATCGGAATTTTTTTAAAAAGTTGCTTTATAAACAAAGTGTAGTGCACTATTAGAAGTTGGATAGTGCACAAGACTTTTTTGGGCTGGGGGTGGGAGGGGAGTGGGCAGAAGACAGCAGAGGTAAGAGGGAAGTTATATCATTATTTCTCAGATTTTTTCCATATTACGTGTACCGTGTTTCTTCGAAAAGCTGTAGTGCTGTTAGCATTGTGATGGTCTTGAGAATCCAGCACAAGAGAAACTTCAGTCTATTTACATGAGTGTTCTCCAAATATGAGTGCAGACATATATAGGTCACTCCCACCTCATTTTCTGCAGCTGTGGCTCTACATATGTAGTTACATGTCTTTTCTCATCTTTTTGACCTATCTACTGGACTTAAAACAATCCTTGCTTTTCATGATTCAGTTATGCACAAATTCCAGTTACAGTAGTTTACTTAAATAATATTAGTGCTACAACACAGTTCAAATTTCACTTACCATGGTATATTAACTGAGTAATCACATAAAAGTTCAAACTTCACTGGTAGCTCTTCAGTCCACAAGTCACTATGTAGGTAATAGATGTGCATTGTGGTAGGCAGAATAATGCAGCCTCCCCCAGCATGTTCACATCCTACTCCCCCAGACCTGTGAACATGTATCACATGGCACAAGGAACATTGTTGATGTGATTAAGTTAGAGATCTTGAGATGGGGAGATTATTTGGGTGATTCCAATACGAACACAAGGTATGAAAGGAAGGCAGATGGTCCAAGTCAGAGGAGAAATGTGACAGTGGAAACAGTCAGATTGAGATTTGAAGAATCTGCACTGCTGATTTTAAAGATGGAAGAAAGCGCCATGAGCCAAGGAATGCAGACAGCCTCTAAAAGCTAGAAAGAGCAATGGAATGTACAGCCTCCAGAAGGGATGTGGCCCTGCCAACACCTTGATTTTAGTCCAATAAGATCATATTGGACTCCTGACCTCCAGAACTGTAAGCTAATAATTTGTGTTTTTGTTTGTTTTTCAGTTTTGAGATATAATTGGCATACTGCACTGTATACGTTTAAGGTGTATAGCATGATGACTTGACTTACATATATTATGAAATTATTACCACAGTAATTTTAATTGGCATCCATCATCTCGTTTAGATACAAAAAAAAAAGAGAAATTGTTTTTTTCCTCCCCCTGTGATGAGAACTTTTTGAATTTACCCTTTTAGCGTCTTTCAAATGTACAATCCAGTAGTGTTAACTGTAGTCATGCTGTGCATTACACCCCTATTTTCTGTATATAAAATCACGTCATCTGCAAATAGAGACGATTTTACTTCTTTCTAATTTGGATGCCTTTTATTTCTTTTTCTTGCCTCATTTCCAGTACTAAGAGTTCGAGTTCTATTTTTAATAGGAGTGGTGAGAGTGGGCTTCCTTGTCTTGTTCCAAATCTTAGGGGGAAACTTTAAGTCTTTCACTATTGAGTATGATGTTAGCTATGGGCTTGTCATAGATGGCCTTTATTATGTTGAGGTACAGGCCTTCTGTACCTAATAAGAGTTTTTATCATGACCTGATGTTGAATTTTGTCAAATGCTTTTTCTTCATCTATTGAGATGATCATATGATTTTTATCCTTCATTCTGTTAATGTGGTCTGTCACCTTTTTTTGACTTGTTTGTATTGAAATATCCTTGCATCCCAGGCATAAATCCCAATTGATTATGGGGTGTAATCCTTTTAATGTGCTGTTAAATTCAGTCTACTAGTATTTTGTTGAAGTTTTTGCATCTATATTCATTAATGATATTGGCCTGTAATTTTCTTCTTTTGTGTCCTTTTCTGGCTTTGTTGTCAGGGTAATGCTGACCTCATGAAATGAGTTTGGGAGTATTCCCTCCTCTTTGATTTTTTAGAAGACTGAGAAGGATTGGCGTTAATTTTTCTCTAAATGTTTGGTAGAATTCACCAATGAAACCATCTGGTCCTAGGCTTTTATTTTACTGGTTTTTTTTTGTTTTTGCTTTTTTTTTTTTGTATTACTGAATCAATATCCTTATTAGTAATTGCTCTGTTCACATTTCTTATTTTTTCATGATTTAGTCTTGGTAGGTTGTATGTTTCTAATAATTTTATTTCTTCTAGGTTGTCTAGTTTGTTGAAATGTAGTTGTTCATAGTAGCCTCTTATGATCTTTTGTATTTCTGTGATATCAGTTGTAATGTCTTTTCTTTGACTTACAGTTTTGTTGATTTGAGTCCTCTCTTCTTTTTTCCTTGGTTAGTGTAGCTAAAGATTTGTCAGTTTTATTTATCTTTTTAAAGAAGCAGTTCTTAGTTTCATTAACCTTTTCTCTTGTTTTCCTGATTTCTGTTTAATTTATTTCTGCTCTAATCTTTATTATTTACTTCCTTCTGCTAAATTTGGGCTTAGTTTGCCCTTCTTTTTCTACTTTCTTGAGCCATAGAATTAGGTTGATTTTTCCGATTTTTTTTTTTTTGGTTAAAATATACTTTATTGCTAAAAAATGCTAACCATCATCTGAGCCTTCAGCGAGTTGTATTTTTTGCAATTATAACACCAAAGGTCACTGATTGTAGATTATCATAACAAGTACAGTCATAATGAAAAAGTTGGAAATACTGAAAGAACTATCAAAATGTGACAAAGAGACACAAATTGAGCAAATGTTGTTGGATAAATGGTGTCAACAGACTTGCTCAATACAAGGTTTCCACAAACCTTTGGTTTGTAAAGTACACAGTATCTGTGAATCTTTCTGTTTCTTAATGTAGGCATTTCTTGCTATGAACTTTACTGCATCCCATAAATTTTGTCATATTGTGTTTCCATTTTCATTTGTCTCAAGATACTCTTTTATTCCCCCTTTAGTTTCTTCTTTGATCCATTGGTTGTTCTGGAGAGTGTCATTTAATTTCCAAGTATTTGTGAGTTTTCCAGTTTTCCTCCTGTTAATGATTTCTAGTTTCATACCATCGTGGTCATTGAAGGTACTTGTATGATTTCAGTCCTCTTTAATTTGCTAAGACTTGTTTTGTGGCTAACCTATGGTCTATCTAGAATATGTTCCATTTGTGCTTGAGATTAATTTGTAGTTTGCTGTTGGATAAAAAGTTCTGTATATTAAAATGTTCCATTAGATCCATATGATCTATAGTGTTGTTCATATCTGCTGTTTCCTTAATGATTCTCTTTCTGGATGATAAATTCTTTGTTGAGAGTAGGGTATTAATGTCCCCAACTATATTTCAATTTCAGTTTATTTCTCCTTTCATTTCTGTTAGTTTCAACATCTCTGATGTTGGATGCATAAATATTTACAGTTATAGCCTCTTGATGAATTGACCTCTTTAACATTATAATCTTTTTTGTCTTTTTTTTTTTTAATCATTTTTACTTTAAGGTCTATTTTGTCTGATATAAGTATAGCTAATCCTGCTTTTTGGGGAGAGAGGTTATCATTTGCTTGACATATCTTTTCCATCCCTATATTCTTAGTCTGTGTGTGTCTTTTTTTTTTTTTTTGGACTAATTTTTTTTATTGAGTTATAGTCAGTTTGCAATGTTGTGTCAATTACCAGTGTAGAGCACAATTTTTCAATTTTACATGAACATACTTATATTCATTGTCTCATTCTTTTTTGCTGTGAGCTACCACAAGATCTTATATATATTTCCCTGTGCTATACAGTATAATCTTGTTTATCTATTCTACATATGCCTGTCAGTATCTACAGATTTTGAACTCCCAGTCTGTCCCTTAAGGCTAAATTGAGTGTCATGTAGTGTCATATCATTGGATCTTTTTTTTTTAATCCATTCAACCATTCTGTATCTTTTTATTGGAGAATTTAATACATTTACATTAAAGTAATTATTACACCCAGAAGCTTTCTGGTCAGGCAGGACTGGGAGCTACAGTGAGCAGTGAGTGGAGCTATGATTCTGCTCCCCTGCCTGGGGAGGCAGGGACGGGAAGGTGGGGAAGCAGACCAGGCTTTAGGGCTGTAAAGAGTCTTTGAGGTCCCAAGTCAGACAGACTTGCATCTTGCCCAGCTCCCTGGACAGACTGCACCACTGTGTTGGCTCTGAGTCTGTCAAGATCTGAGTGGTAGTTGTTGCAAGCCCCTCTTCCCTTCTTCGTCACAGTCTGGTTCCCAGTGGTCAAGCCTTGCAGATTCCCCTGCATCTCCAAGTGGGACTCCGAAGAAGGGACCCACAATGCTAGGAGAGTTGGATGTCCACTGGATCTCTTTTCCCACTGGAGGAAATGAAAGCTCAGGTGAGACTCATACTGTGCTGGCCTGGGAGAGAGGCAGTGTGGTCAGCATGTAGCAGCTCCTCTTGTCCTTCTAATGTTGTCTGCCTCATTATCTGTGCTGCAGGGGATGCTTCAGTCTCACCCCCATGTTCTAGGATTTTCTCTGTGGTGTCTTGTCCATGAATAGTTGTTAGTTGTTCTTGTGAGGGGGAGTGAAGTTGGGAATGACCTATGTCACCATCTTGGTGATGTCACTCCTCAATTAAAAGATTTTTTTTTATTATGGGGGGAGGTATTTAGGTTTATTTTTTAAATGGAGGTACAGGGGATTGAACCCAGGATCTCGTGCATGCTAAGTGTGAGCTCTACCACTGAGCTACACCCTCCCCCCTCAATTTGTGTTATTTTAAACCAGTAAGTTTGTAGTAATTTGTTATAGCAGTAATAGGAAACTAATACACCCATTATGATGAGTTACCAATTATACTACTTCTTTCAAAGTCTGTCCATGACTGGTCACTGTACATCTGTCATTCACTTTATACACAGTAAAGTGTGTAGCAGTGTTGATTCC